TTACTAAATAAGTCTTTACTAAAATCCATTACTTTGTTAATAATATTGAACATGATATGCAAGTAATTTTTTTAATTTATCGTCTTAATTGCAGTAAGACGATAACCTTAAAAAAATGTCTAAAATATATTCAATTATTTGTCAAATTGCAAACTTAAGCAGCACTTTTTGTATTTTTAATAATCCACAAATAACAATAAAATATTCTTAAATATAAATTATGAAACCATAAAAAATTGAATACAACGCAAAAAACGATATTAAATGTTATAATTTTATAGTCAAATTTATTTAATAAAAACAAACTAGAATTACAATTAATTAAGTATAAATGAAAAAGTAACTTTTAAGTCTTCATATACATATAAACACATTTCATATTATAATGTTATATAACAATATAAAGTTTGTTTCTACAATCACGATGGAAGACGTGAGATAAACTCAGTCAAATATCATGAGATCTTACTAAACTTAACGACTGCAGTAAATTATAATTGCAATTATTTTGGTCCCACTTTAGGTAGAACCAAAAGTACTTCATGGAATGCACATTAACCTATTATATATTATCAGTAATTGCATTAAGTTTACATCTTCATAAAACATTTTTAGTTTAAATACAATTAAAGGACAAATATATGTTCCACTTTTACTATGAAGTTTTACAACTTCGTATATCATACTATTACTTTAAAAATGTACAAATAATTACTTAAAAATATTTTGTATTTCTGATATTATATCTTTTCTGCTTACTTTTGTACAATAAAAACGATTTATAAATTCCATTTCATTGAAAGTAAACTATATATGATTTAATTTTGTAAAGTTCAGTAAAATTTAGTGGAAGCGTTGATACTTAAGCACTCAATTTAAGATATTGTAACTTCCTGAGGATTGATGCATGAACAATAAAATGATGATATACTTTAGTTGAAAAGAACAAAATATTCCTGATACTACGATAATGATGTCGTATTATTATTGTACATAAATATGTAGTTATATGAACTCAGAATAATGTTATATAAAAATATGTACTGAGTTATTTTACTAATACATGTATATGATGGTGCATACGTTTTTGAGAAAAACTGGGTTTTATAATTACAGTTCGTCTTTCTCATCAAGATCTATATCACTAAGATCAATTTCTTCTTCCTGTGGAAGTTCGGCATCATTGCCATCCCACGGTGTAGTTTCAAGAATTTTGGGTAACTGAGCTCCTTTCAAAGGAGCTGTGCCTCCTCGTCCGTAACTTAAATCTCGTAAAAACTCGTATATACCATCATAAGAGAAACTACCCTTTAATAATGAGTATTTCATTTTCTTTATATTTACAGCTGCTAATGCTGGATAGCCGAAACCGCCAATTTCTAATGCTTCTTCAATATGTGGTTGAGCACCAGCTTCTGCCCAAACCCATCTATTAAAAAAATGTATATATATGTATATGCACATACTTTTTTGAAGTTTCAAATATGGTCTTTTTACTTATATACAAAATCCTAACTAGAATTTATACATACCCCCACATTTTTTGTTTATATTTTTCTCCGAGGTCATTTAATGTTTTTAAATATTGATTTCTACAATCTGACTGACAATCTAAGATATGTGGCAAAACAGATACAACGCATAACGGTTTGTCTTCACATGCTTCTCTTAAATTTTTTTCATTTACAATTTGAGCTACTTCTGGTGCTGGAACATTTTCTGCTAGCTTTTCTAGTACCCAATTTACTATGTCGCTACTTGTGCGACCGCCATCATATTCTTGTACAGAATCAAAGGATTTTTTACCAGGTGTAAAGTATTTGATAGTAGGATACCCTTTTATTTCATACTGACTAGCCTGTAATATTCACATTTTATTACACATACAGCAACTTAAAAATACGAATAGAATACAATTTTAAATAAGATTAGTTCTAAAACAAATTACTTACTTTAAGTGTATTTACAGTAGCATCAATAGCTCCCAATTTCACTTTCCCTTTAAGTTCTGTTGCTGCAGATGCCCAAATAGGAGCTAAATTTTTACAATGACCACACCATGGTGCATAAAACTCAACTAACCACATATCTTCTGAGTTCATTACTAATTTATCAAAATTATCATCTGTTAATTCAATCACATCCTTGGAATCTTTAGACTGTAATAATAATATGAATTTTTTAATTATTTTATTATTTATTCTCTTATTCTTATTATGTTTTATATGTCACTATATTTACCTTAGAATCTCCACCACCTCTTTTACCACCTAAAGCTCTACGTGCTTTTTGACTAGCTGCATTTAAAGCAGCCTCAACAATTCCAGCTGCAGTTCTTGGTCCAGTACAATCTTCTGGTTTATTATCAATGCCAAAGATTTTAATTGTTGGAAAACCTTGAATTCCATATCTTGATCCAAGAGATTTATGTTCATCAGCATTTACTGCACCAACTTTTACAATACCCTATGAAAATTTTGTATTACGTGCTTATAAAGAATCATACAGAGAATAAACATCATTTTAACTACAAAAACGAAAATTACCTTTAAGGCAGTTGCAGCTTTTTCATATTCAGGTGTTAATTGCTGACAATGTCCACACCATGGTGCAAAAAATTCCACAACCCAAATATTATCACTATTTAATACCAAATTATCAAAATTACTTGGTTTGAGATCTATAACATCTGAGTTTGAGGAGTACAAACAATGGGCTCCAGTAATCAACAGCAAGATACCTAAATGTAAAAAAATATGAAAAAAATCGAAGTGAATACAAATAAAATAAGATAAAATATTTCAATGTTCAAAAAAATGAGATAAAAGTAAATATTTAATGTAAAAATTAAAGAGGCAACATAACGGTATGCATCCGCCGGTAAAATTTAGTGATAAAAAATCATGATATAAATTATAGATATTGTTTTGTAAAACTTACCTAAAAATCCTTGCATGTTGCTTGGCAAAATAACGACGAACTTACAATTTCTTCTGAAAAATCATTCACCAAAAATCTTTTAAATTTAAGATTGAAATGTATACAACCTCTCCTTGTAAAGTTCAATCGTCCTGTTCGTTTCCCCACTCTTTATAACAAGGTATAACTTTTCGTGGATCGTTCTGATTGGTTGTCTATAATCAACAATCACACGTTACAGAGGAAATAACCTTAAGAAGACTGTCAGTCATTCTAGAATTATTTAAAATCTTGCAATGAGAATGACCGCTCCACTCTACAAACTAAGAAATTATTTTATATCATATGTAATGTGGAAAAAGAAATCGTTACAAATTTGATTTAAAGGTGAAATAGTTGGAAGAATTTCAAATACATATAGACGGAAGTCGTAGCAAATATATAATATGTGTCAAAAATCAAAATATGTAATTAACATATGATCAATAATTATACATTTATCATATGTTGGCTTTCATTTTGTGTATGATATCTATACACAATATAGTAAATTTATTGATAAAAAATAAATTCAAATATTTAATGCAAAATGATATTCTTAAACATACGTTAAATCTAGATTACTGATTTCTAATCTATAACTTTATGTTTAATGACATTAACCTTTTAATTAATAAATACACAGAAAATTTGTTTATTCCACTTCAAAATATAAATGTAACTTTATGATCAAAGAAAATCTTATAAATTTATAATTAAAGTTGATATAACTGTATTTATGCATTAGTGCATATTAATGCATTAATATTATTTTTTCTAATTCAAAGTTCGTTGTACACTTTTAAATTACACGATTTTATTAAACTCTATTTTATACGTAATATACATATATACAAATGCATGCATGAAGAGATAAAAGAAATGTAAAAATAAATGTGAAAACCAGCCAAATAACCACGCTATTCTATATTCCATAATTGGCGCCACTATTCAGTATGGCACAAGTACTTTACTTGTGATCATTGAAAGATAGACTCTGCAAAATATTTTTAACAATAAATTATCAGTTTAATTACATAAGTTTTAATAATTATACGAATTCTAGAAATTCTTTAAAAAATGTTGCAGAATAAATATAAAAATGTTACACATTGTATTTTTGATATGGATGGATTACTACTTAGTAAGTGATTTGTACTTTGTTCTATAAGTTATGAAGTGATATAATATTTATATGCACTATATTATTTGGTTAAAGATACTTAATATTTTACATAACAATTAGAAACGAATATTTTAACTTGTATTATTTTACGAAATTGTTGACTTTATCATTTATATACAAAAAATGAATTTGTAGATAAGTAAATATTTATTTATACGAATGTAGTAATTTTATTTTGTCTATGCACGTGTAGTAATGAGTAAAATCACAATGGCAATTGTTAACAAATATGAGGAATATATATTAAATACACAATGCATCTATATGAGTGGATTCTACTATCAATGAAAAGGTTAAAATAACACTCATCATGCGTGAGTTTGTATGTACTTTACATTTAATTTTTGGGAAGCTGTGTTAGAATTTTGTACATACATACTTGCAGACATGTATGAACAAATATAATTTCTGTTAATCATTCACAATTATTATAATTTTGAAACTATCTTCAACACAGTTTCTACAAATTGATGTTATGAATCATAGTTAAAATCATTGAATTAAATGAATTTTTTACAATATGTCAATTATATAAACAATCTTGTATTTAAATTTCAATAGATACTGAACAACTTTACTCACAAGCTTTTAATCGTGTTACAAATCGCTATGGGAAAGAATTTACATGGGACCATAAAGCAAAAATAATGGGTTTTAAAACTAAGGCTGTTGCACAAGTTGTAATTGAAATGTTATCTTTACCAATAACATCAGAAGAATTTGAAAATGAGGTAGTAAAAATATATCGAGAATTATTCCCATCTGCAAACCTTATGCCAGGTAATGAATTTATATATAGAATGTCTTACCTAAAATATGTTCTCATCAGCCACCAAAGTGTTCTCTATTAATCTGACAATATAAAAAACATTCTAAATGTATATTGAATGATTTTGAAGATCAAATACATTGTAATGGAAGCTTTCTTTCAGGGTCATTTATTTATTTTCCGTTTTTAGTATCAGAAATATTTTTTTATATAAAAATGTACATTTATTTCTGATAGATTGTCTTAAAACTTTCATAAACAAAATCTTTTCACCACTTGTAATATAATGACAAACTTCTTTATTGCCGTATACAATTGTTTTTTATTGTCACTGATGCTTGAACTCATAAAAAAAATGACAGCTTTACTTTGAAAAGAAAGTAATTTTAAATTTAGAACTCCAGAGTTATGTTACTCAGTGTTTGAATGCATATTAACATAAACTGTAAAGTACAAGATAAAATATGTATTCATATGTCATTAGATACATGCAAAATACTTTTCATATAGTCACAACTAGAATAAGTAATGAAATGGCTTACTTTAGATGAGATAGCACATATATTTAAGAAAAATAAAAACAATGATTTTAATAAAATAGATTTTATTATAAAAAAAAATATATGTCTATCTTTCAATATATTATTTCAAAACAGGTGCTGAACGATTATTGAGACATCTAAATCAAAATAATATTCCAATTGCACTAGCTACAAGTTCAAATAAAGAGAATTTTGAATTAAAAACTCAAAGATGGACACATGTATTTGATTTATTTGACCACAAAGTTCTTGGTGGTTCTGATCCTGATGTTGCTAATGGTAAACCAGCACCAGATATTTTTTTGGTTGCTGCAAAACGTTTTCTCAGTGTCTTGTGTTTGAAGATGCTCCAAATGGTGTAAAAGCTGCACTTAATGCTGGAATGCAAGTTGTCATGGTTCCAGATCCAATGTTACCAAAGCAATATATTGAAAATCCAACATTAATAATAAATAGTTTGGAAGAATTTCAGCCCGAACTGTTTGGTTTACCACCATATAACATATAATATATGTGGAATGCGACAGATATATAAATTAAATGTACACTAGTTTTCATAAAATGTATGATAATGAAAGTTTAAGAACAAAAAAAATTATAGATCAATATTCTAATTCTTAGATCAATTTTGAATTATTGATGGATATAAAGA